ACTTCTGAAAATGTGTTTTTTTTTCCCTCCAAAGACTTTGAAAAGATTTGCTCCAGCCGAGGGATTTTTGGGAAGAAGGGATTAGTGACTTCGAGCCAAATGTCTGCTGCTTTTTAGGAAACTTACTGGTTGAGTTTGACAGCGGGTTAATCTGGTTGTTACACACACACACACACACACACACACAAACATATAGAGACAGCTTTCAGGCCTCTAATTACAGTTTGCTGTGTGCAGGATGTGAACTCCTCAGGGTGACTGCAAGGCAACAAACACACGCACGCACAAACACGACCTGCAGACGTTGTGGTGTTTTCTCTACCTGCTCATAATGGGACTGGGTGGGACGTCACCTCCACCAGAGGAGACGATGTTGGTGAGGGTGACCACGTTGTCCTCAGAGTCTCTACCTCGCTCCTTCCTGCTGATGGAGCGGCTGGCCTCTGGAGACCACTCCTGCACACACAAACACAGAGTTTTTTAGTTTCACTCGATCACAGAAACCTTTACAACAGAAATAACTAACTGTGAGAAAAGTCTTAGCCGGGTTTCCATTGGTCAGTGGGTCGCAAGAAAATATGAAAATCAACAAAAATTGCAATCAGGTGCTTCGTCAAAGTTCACTCAAAAGCCATTCACCGAAATGCTTTAAAAAATGTTTAAAGGCATTTCATTTCATTTCATATTTGATTTATTTGCTCATTTCAGTGTATGATTTCAACACAATAATACACAACAAAAAAAAAATGTTTCTCATAATACTGAAACACTGTTCATGAGCAAACAGGAGCAGGAAGAAGAAAACTTATAACACCTGCCCCTTTCTATTCAACAACAACCATAAAACTTAATACACGGACAGGCATCGACAGCTCATTTAGATGCAGATTTATTGCCTAAGACTCAACAGAAATAACTAAATTCATCCAGGGCAGCACAGAGTAAGTTGAAGAGATCACAGAGACAAAAAAATCGTCAGCAGATATTTGTGTAGGACGGCTGGTAGCTAGCTTACAGCTGAAGTTTATATTGACAATAGAGTGGCTGATTGTTGTGAATTTAAACAGACTTAACACACACTCTTCTTCACAGGGGTGCTGGTGGCGCAGTGTATGGAGGCTATGGACCTCCAAGCGGGCGGCCCAGGTTCAAATCCAGCCTGTGGCTCCTTTCCTGCATGTCAATCCCCTACTCTCTTTCTCCCTGATTTCAAACTCTATCCACTGACCTATCTCTTCAATATTGGGCACAAAAGCCCAAAGATAAATCTAAAAAAACACTCGTCTTCACACTGTCTTTTTTGATGCTCTTTAGGGTACAGCTAAAGGGTCCACTATCTTTTTGAATCGTGCCCGAGTAGGTAATAAATAAGATCCTCACACTAAGAGGCTCCCGGTTTGTAGGTTTTTTTAGACGGGTGACGTTTCAAGCCAAGATGCTCTTCCTCAGCCCTGAGGTGGTCTTAGGCATGGTGCCCAAGTACGGTACCATAACGGTAACGTCTGTGTTCACACTGATCAAATGAACTTTAGAACTTTAGGGTCAAGCTTACTCAGATCTGGGCCCGGGTCATTAGTGTGAAACCACCCTCGTCTTTCAGCTTTCACACTTTGATGCTTGTTCAAAAACAGAGCAGGACAAGAGTCTAACAATGAGTCGTTTTGGGCGGCTGTGGCTCAGTTGGTAGAGTCTGACGGTTAAATCCCCGGCTGAGCAACATGTCCGATGTGTCCTTGGGCAAGACACTTAACCCCGCATTGCTCCCGCTGCTACTGTGGCGGTGTATGAATGGATTAGTGTTGTAGTTACTCTCTGATGTACGTCGCTTTGGATAAAAGCGTCTGCTAAGTGAATTGTAACATTGTAGATCAGTAAACACACTGAGGTGGGATAATCAATGGAGTCTGATCGGGTCACACCCTGACTAAAACTAACACACACAGGGCCATGATAACAGGGTGCTGACAGAGGTAGGTGGTATTTACAGTCTCAGTGGCGCACAGAACAACCTCCATCTAGAGCTGCTACAGGAGGTGTGTGTGTGTGTGTGTGAGATCTGAATATCCACACAGGATGAAACACAGATATGAACTTTGTTTTGTTATAAAAGGTTGACAAGAGAACATTTAGCTTCTCATCCTCACTTGTTTTGAAGTCTTACATTTTGTAAACTTCAAGGCACGTAGCTCAAGAGTTCAGGTTGAAGTTGTGAATTAATAGAGTTGGAAGAGTCCTCACAAACAGAAATAAAAACATGCGCCTGTGTGGAGACAATGTTTCTCTGTGTAAGCAGCGCTGTGGGAACACTGGGAGATTCCTCAGAGGACAGAAAGAGTTTTTCCTTTCCACCAGTATCGACTAACTCTCTCTCTCTCTCTCTCTACCTCTCTTGTTTTAAAACTACTGAAAATCTTGGGGAGCTACGCAGACTTCACTTTGTCATCACAGGGCGGTTTCCCACAATTTTCTGCACTGATTGCCCAGTGGTTAGTGCGAGCGCCCGTGTGCAGAGGCTATAGTCCTCCAAGTGGGCCGCCCCAGGTTCGACCTGTGGCTCCTTTTGGCTCATGTCATCCCCTACCCTCTCTCCCCCCGTTTCAGACTCTATCCACTGTCCTATCTCTAAATAATATGCATATTCAAATGCCAAATGGGAACAATCTCACTTGCCTGCAATTTTAAAATCCTTCACACACTTAATTCCTGAAAATCTCGGGTTTAAATGGTTAACCCTTTAAAAGGAGTAACTACAGAGTAGAATAAAGTTCAGAAGATCATTCCATTCCTTGAAAAACATGTTAATGAATCAGCTTATAGATTCCTGAAGGCAAAGATTAGACTGCTGACGTAAGGGTCGATGTACATGACTGCTTACAAGCTTAAAACAGGCATGACATGGCAAAACGTCCAGCTTACATAACGAAGCGTTTCCTGCAGCGTGCAGCTTTTTTTTTTTTTTTTTTTTACATGTGGTTAAAAATATGACATCTGGAGATGATGATGTAGGTTGATCGAGATCTTTTTCCAGTTATCAGAGTTTTTGCTCCAGTTTTTCAGTTTGACGTTGTCGACTCATCTGTAAAATTTGAAATCAGAGGATCCAGGTCTGAAGTTGTACACACATACACACATACACACGCACACACACGCAGTCTGTGTCTAGCTGCCAAAAATAAAAGTGGAGAGTGGGAGGGAGGCAGGAATCCAGATGATTGTATCTCTATTATTTGTTGATAATTGGGTCTGCAGATCTTTTCACAGACTGAAAACAGGACCAAAACAACGGCTCCTTTCTGGTGAATCAGGAACAGAGAGAGCGAGGAGAGGGTGTGGACATTCCTGAGTGTAACTGATCACTATCGGTTATATCATCCTCGGGCTGGATTCACAAAAAGGATTGTTGTAGGATGAACTGCTATTCATCGTAATCAATGTCCATCTTTGAGGGACGAGAGAGTTCATTGAAAGCAACGTAGCCTCATTCAAAATCAAAATTATTGACAGACTTTTTCAGTTCCTGCTTCAGTAGGGTTAGGGTTAGGCTTACAGTAATGGGTGTGTTTTAAATTATTGTGCACTTTGAATTATTTTGATTACAGAACGAAAAACAAGAATGAGAACCAAGAACAGGGTTGCAGATGAACCGACTAACCTTTCTGAAAACTCTGTTTCACATGCTGATTAATGAAGAAATGTCTCGAGAATTAGAGACAGATATCTGAGTGAAGAAATTACATAACCCAAAGCAAAAATGAGATTTCTCCTTTAACTCCATAAAGAAAACTGATTTCTGCTCCTGCTTCCTGTAATCTCTTGAGCTCTTTTTCATATCTGTTAATATTTGTCCGTCTTTAGCGGTCTGCAGAGCTGAGGAGCTGACCATCAAATAAACCTGCAGAATCAAAAAGAGTCATACCTTATCGACTCTTTTCAGTCAGTTTATGCTTTTATAATTATGAGGTTTTAACTAGTGTGTATTTTGAACTATTTTTATGAGGTGTTTTCAGACCAAACAGTTCTGGGGACTTTTTGAAGAGGAACTATCCACTAGTGAGTTCCCTGAGAACGACACAACATGAGGACTCTTTTCTGTCTGCGTTTGCATCAGGGGGAGGCTTTCAACAGTTCCTAGAACTATTAGAGGATGATGAAAACTATTTTGTACCTGGACTTTAGATGAAAACTAGATTTTCTGATGACTTTGAATCTGTTTGAATGCTGAGTTGCTGACATTGTCTCATGAAATAGGGATACATAACTGAGTTAAGAGTTTTGAAGATGAGATGATCTGTCTCTCTGTCATTCAAATACTGATAAATAAAATGATATTTAACTCCATAACCATGTTCTATTTCTACTCCAGCTTCTCAGAATCTCTTGTGTTTTTTAAATTCCTGTAAATATTTGTTTGTCCTCAGTGGCATGACCCGCAGAGCTGAGGGGGAATCTGTAGATTTCCACAAACAACTACACAAACCTGCAAGTCTGTGTGTGTGTGTGTGTGTCTGTGTCTGTGTGTGTGTGTGTGTGTGTGTGTGTGTGTGTGTGTGTGTGTGTGTGTGTGTGTGTGTGTGTGTGTGTGTGTGTGTGTGTGTGTGTGTGTGTTCAGACATTCCTGACCCAACTCAGAGCTCTCAGTCACACAACAAGTCTTTCACTTGAAGCCTGTTTAAAATTCAGTCCGTTAAACTCACGCTGAAGAACAACAACAGTCCTTCTCAGCGCCGTTGTTAATATGAAGAAGTTTCAAGATAAATCATGAATGAAGGAAGTTCAAGAAAAAGTCCCAAAAGTGTGTGCAGTCAGCATTGTGTGTTTGTGTTGTGTGAGTCTGTCAGCACCTCAAACTGTGGCCAGTTCATGCTCATGCCCGGCCCGTGGGTGTTCCTCCACCATCGGAGATCTTCAGTGTCATTGGCTCCCTGGATGGTCTGACCCAGGTCCCGGTAGAGACTTCTGAACCTGTTGGACAAAGTGGGTGTCAATCATCTCATCTTCACATCAGCACCCTCCTCCTCTCCTCTCTTTTCATTTTCCTCCTCCTCTCTCTTTTCCTCCTTCTCCTCTCCTCTTCTCTCCTCTCTCTCCTCCTCCTCTCTTCCTCCTCTCCTCTTCCTCCTCTCCTCTTCCTCTCCTCCTCCTCCTCCTCCTCTCTCCTCCTCCTCCCTTTCCTCCTCCATATGGGGGCCGCACGCCAGGCTATCTGCACCCCCAGTTGATCGCACACTTCAAGTTGCATTCACTACTTGATTTTGTTTTTATTTAGGGGAATGATTTCAGTGACCAAACCATCTAAACACAAATAAAGGGATGCAAGGAAAGAATGTGAACCTGTACCTTTAAGCCTTTAAGGGTTTGAAGTTCTTATAAATGCCGTTACATGTACGGTAATTCACTTCAAGTAACTGGAGACTCCATAAAGTCAAGTTTGTGAGGACTCCGGTTTGTGAGTCTGGACCGAGGTCACTGATAGAGGACAGGTGGTCTTTCATGAGAGGGGCCAGGTAAAGAACCTCAACAGTCTTTCTACTAAACAGAAGACAAATCAAATTAGTCTAAAAATAATAGCAAAGCGATGACTTTTCCAATCAAAATGTCATCACAGACCGTCTGAAGTCTCGTCTTCACAAAGTTTACAACAGTTTTGTCCAATATTTAAACAAAGATCTTGTAGGACTTTCCCCAATCACAGTTGCCATGGTTACAGTAGCATGTTTAAATAGAACAAATAGGTCACTGGTTAATGGACAACACTGTAGGTTTTCTATTAACCCCTGTGTACATACACACACACACACACACACACACACACGCTCACACACATCTGAACCCTGAGAGATCTGCATGCCTGCGTCCTGAGTCATCGACCATAAATCAAATGATCGCCCTCTCTCTTTTTCTGATGTTTGTGAAGGTGTGTGTATGTGTGTGCAGGTCTGTCCTACCCTTCCTTGCTGGACAGGTCGAGGTGGGTGTGAATGTCCAGCAGAAGCTCTTTAAAGAAGCGCAGCCTCTTCCGCTCGGCCTCCTGCGTGAGGTCGAACACTTGCTCCATGTCCTCCATGTATCGAGGGTTACAGCGGTTCAGCTCCTCCAGCGCCTTCGTGTAGCGATCCTTCGCCTGAAGCACACAGAAACACACACACAGAGAGAGACCACATGCTTAGCTACTGCACAAACCTGTCACCCTGCAAATACAGTAAGAAGTGTTCCTGTGCTTCCGTCTACAGAGGGCTTGAAAATATTAAGAGTGATGTCTGCACGGGTAGTGGGCTTTATAAACACTGCCAACGACTTAATACAAGAGTCAATTAATTACAGCTGCAGTGACAGTTTGAGCTGAGTTAAACAGCTGAAATGAAATAAATGTCTCAGTATCAAGCCAGGTGATTTAGACACCATTTTTGAGTTTGGTTTAAAAGAAAAGGTTTTGAAGTCAGGACAAATTTCAGCCCGTCTTGCGTCATTAGTCGTGCAGTGTACACTGAGGCACGACGACAGATCATGGCCCAGTCAGATGATGTCCACGCAGGAGAGAGAGAGAGAGAGAGAGAGAGAGAGAGAGAGCATAACTGAGGCGTGCATATGAAACAACTGATACTCATATCTATTGACAACTGTGAATGCTCCCGTCCGGATTTCACTCGAACAGTGTGCACTCTCAAGTGGTACATTGTGAGCTTTTGTTGTGCGACAGAAATGATTCACTCGTTCAGTGTGAGCTGACAATCCACCAACCACTTCTATACAATCGAACAGTGTGCACCGGGCTTTATGACTCTTCTTGATCACATCCCCAGTCGTAACGTGCACCTAACTAATAATCTATATTTACAGATTGCAGGCACAGGACTGGATTTTGGTATCGGAAGTGTTGTGGTTTTCATTTTCTAGCTTCACTAGTATCATTCAGTCACATTTCTGTACCCAGAAACTTTTTGTGTGGAGAGCAAAGATAATTATAATGCAATCCCAGAAGACATCTGGTCACCAAGCGACACTTCACCTTAATTTAATCTTTAAAAAGCTATCTGCATGTTAGCGCTGTTAGCGATCCTCTCTTGGATATCGTTGGCCATCACTCCCAGAGGCATACAAGGTCGACAGATAACTACCTGATGGGTAAGAGTGGCTTTTAAAATAAAATATGCCACAAACACAAACTCTCTTCACTTCACTAGACTACCCCTGAACTTTCTTTTGCTCATCGCAGAGGTAGGTTAAAAATATGACTGTAGATCAGTCGTTTTTTAAAGCTTTGGTACTTTTTGTAACAACTGAAGTGAAAACGACCTGAGATTTTTTCACAACCCTTTCAGTAAAGGAGGCCTTTTTCCCCCGAAACTACCACATGATTCATGATATTGGATTTCACGTCCTTTGTTTGGTTTCTTGGTTGTTTGGGTCTCAGGATTTCCCTGTTTTTGGTCGATCGTTTCCCTCTTCAGGACCTGCAGCTCTTTGAGTTTGTGCAGAGAACGCAGGAGACAAGCCTGGTCATGCTTCAGAAGTGAAACACACACACAGGTATGTTTTTCTGGACTCGCTGACACACCCAGACTGCTCCAAGAGGAGCTCCGCTGGGGACTGTGTGTGTGTGTGTGTGTGTGTGTGTGTGTGTGTGTGTGTGTGTGTGTGTGTGTGTGTGTGTGTGTGTGTGTGTGTGTGTGTGTGTGTGTGTGTGTGTGTGTGTGTGTGTGTGTGTGTGTGTGTGTGTGTGTGTGTGTTTTGTACTTTTTCGGTCTCCTGGTTGCAGCGCTCCACCCGGGTCGTGTATTTGCGGACTTCCTCCTGTGACTTGGTCGGGTCGGCCTTGGCGTGCGTTTCCCTGGTAACCGCCGTCCACTCCTCCTTCCTGGCCTGATGGAAGGTCTTCTTGCTGGACTCCACCTTGATACACACACACACACACACACACACACACACACACACACACACACACACACACACACACACACACACACACACACACACACACACACACACACACACACACACACACACACACACACACACACACACACACACACACACACACACACACACACACACACACACACACACACACACACACACACACACACACACACACACACACACACACACACACACACACACACACACACACACACACACACACAATGAAAGTCTTTGATGGGCTATTGTAATCAATACAGCGTCAGTTACACAAACCACACCTTGTTACATTTCTTAAACTGGAGTCCTGTTCGCTTGCTGACATATTTGATGGAATTATCCGATGAGGAGCTTAATTCACTTTCAAACATTTAGCATATTATTGACAAGCATGATTATTTAGGGAAAAGACATGGGACGAAAGGACTCCCAGGTACTGAGCTGATGTGTGCCTACTTAAAAATACTTTTTTTCTTAAATGTTGAAGGTACAGTAACAAGAGACCATATAGGTACTGCAAAAACTGCCAGTTAACCCTTCATGTCAACTAAAAATCCACTTAAGCATCACTGACATGCCACTGACTGACCTCAGAGACCCCTCCAGCAGCCCTCACCTCTTTCAGTTTGCGGACCCAGGGTTTCTGTGCTTTGCGGAAGCCGTCGTCCGCGTCCTTTGTCTCCCTGAAGCCTCCTATCATCTGCTTGTGAAATGCATCCTTCTGCCAGTCTCGCATCTTCGCCGCGTCCTCGCCGGCCAGCCGCTGCCGCAGCTCCAGATGCAGCTCGCTGAGCCGGTCGGCCGCCTGCATGAAGGCGTGCCACGCTTTTTCCAGCGTACCATACTGAGGACCTGAGACAAGAAACAGTGCAGATCCTTCTAGTGGTTGGTTTGTCTAAATGCCTGTCAATCCTGACATGTAGTTTCTTTTAACTTGCTGAATATGAATGCTCTGCTGCAGTATTTATATCCCATATGATTCATGTTTTTTTCTCCTCACCTTTCTCTACGACTCCCCTCCATTTCTTTGCCCAGTCACTGAGCTGTAGAGCATAACTTTTTTCTATCTTTGCTCTCTCCTGGAAGCAGCTAACCAGCTCGTTACACAGCCGGTGGCCATCGTCTATCCTCCTCACCGTCCTTTTGTAGTTCCCCGGCTGCAGAGGAACACAAAACACAGATACAATATAAAACTAACGACTCAGACTAAACTGATATCAGTTGGTGTGTCAGTTCAATGCATGTCACTTCCATGCTAATAATAGTGTGGCAGATGTTAGCATGTCGACCCGGCAGGATGTTTGGCAGACTCCTGATGATATATCTAACACTGAAATAGAGGGAGGAGTGAAAGAGGACAGACAGATCAGAGAGTGAGTGGAGCTGAAGGTTTGTAGTTTTCCCAGATGGCGGGCTGTGAAGCCGGCGGTCAGTCAGCAGGGACTCATTATTTTGTCTCTGTCACTATTTAAACAACAAACACTGAAATGCTGCCTCATCTGCCAGCTTTGACCTACAGATGCTCCTCTTAGCTCGTCTAATAGCCAGGTAGGGATATATTTCAGGGTTTAATGGAGTTTAAATGGATCTGATGTTGTTAAATAACTCAGTAAACTATACAGACTTGTCTCTTATTTGTTGTCAGTTTAATAACTTGCTCATTTTGTCACACAAGCGGCTGTGGCTGTGTTTCAGTAGTAGGAGAAGCTCCTTCACTGATCACAGGGTTGATGGTTCTGTGCATGCTGAAGTGTCCTTAGGCAAAACACTGACCCCTAAATTGCTGCAGATAAGCATTTTAGAAGGTTAGCATAATGCTAACTTGAAGCCATCCTTGTTAAAGTGTGCATTTCGATAAGATACTTGACAAAGCAGCCATGAATGTAATGAAGTCTCATCAGTCCTGGTATTATCTAAATATCTAGAGTTATCTCTCTCTCCTGTTAAGTTGTGGTATAAAGTGGTGTGTGTAGATACTGTACCTCCCAGAAGCTGTCAGAGCTGCCCAGCTCGCTGAGGTCCCCATTAGAAGACATATTGGGGTCGGACTTACAGCACCGAATGATGGCGGCTATGAAAAAGACTGCAGAGACAGAGAGAGAGAGACAGAGAGAGAGAGAGAGGGGAAAACATGAATTAAATCAGAGTGTTTTTGAACATTTCAAAATACAGCAGGAACACTTTTACATGACAGAGTTACGTAACCATGTCATGATGTTTCACTGATTAGAAGAAGGATAAGAGAAGGGAAGTAAGGACAGCAGAAACAACAGAATCTGATGTGGACCAAGCCCAGAATCAGAAATACTTTGTTTATCCCCGGGGGGAAATCCAGTAATTTATGAACATTAGGCCCAAACACAGAACTTAAGAGAAGCCCGTTTTTCTCTCAAAAGGAAAAATGTAAAAAAAAAAATCTGTGCGGCAGGGGCAGACACGTCCAGGCTTTTAAAGGCTCAACTCGTCAAATCAAGGATCAACTCTGTAAAGGCACTCTTTTGAAATCATGTAAAAGTTGCTAAATGAGAGCGATACGGACTACACACTACAATTCTCCAAAAGGTGTGGAACTTTCACTGGATCCCGATATTGAATTTGAACAACGATACAGCAGAAATCAATACAGAAATGATAAGAATGTGTTTGTACATCACTGCAGCTTATTTCTTTTCTCCTGACTGTAAATCAGTCAGCTGTAACCTGACCTTCAAAAGCCAATCTGACCTCTCTATCTGGGCTAACCGCTCACATATGTTCACTTCTTGGGGCGGCAGTTGCTCAGTCTGTATGGACTTCGGTTGGGAACCAGAGGGTTGGTGGTTCAAGTCCCTGTACGGACTAACGTATGGAAATGGGACCGGTTTCTGAAGAGGTGCCAGCTTACTTTAAGAGCACTGGCGAAGGGCCTTTGAGCAAGGTATCAAACCCTCTTAGGAGCTCTTTTTTTAATATCTACATTTTTTATTTTGGAGCTTCAATGTCTTTATTTGGATAGGACAGTGGATAGAGCAGGAAATCAAGAGAGAGAGAGAGTGGGGAATGACGTGCTGGAAAAGGAGCCACAGGTCGGACTTGAACCTGGGCCGCCCACTCTGAGGTGAATATCCTCTGTACGTGGGGCGTTACCTAACCACGAGGCCATCAGTTCATGTCCAGAGCATCATGTTTTTTGCATTTGTGTTTTCTCTGGCCTATGTGTGTGTAGCATGTTCCAAAAAAAGGAGTGTAAAAACTGAATTTCTAAAAAGGGGTTAATGAAGAATGTCGGCTTCTTCTTCTTAGCTCCAAAAGAAGAAGAAAACAACAAAATTGTGACGGCCAAAATACCAAACTGAAGGCTTCCAAATGATAGCACAGAAAGCAAAACAAAGTCTACACATCATAAATAAAAAACAACCTACTGTTAATATAGTTAGTGTGACACAAACGTTAAGTAAATACAATCAGTGTTTGTGGAGGGTCAGGCATTTCTTTAACATTTCCCTAAAAGACATTTGTTAAGAAAATGTTCACAAGCTCGTGACCTTCCAGTCTCACAGCTCGACTATACTCGGCCGTACAGTTTCAGCCTCTGGCAAACTGCAGCTCCACGTCAGTCGACACAGAAAGCTTCAGAGTATTCCCCTCTCTCTGCCCACAGGGCTGTTTTCTCCACATTGCTGCCCAATTTTCCTTCTGAACACAAATGAACTGTGTGTGTGAGTGTTATCCTTGTCTCACTCATCCGCTCCATTACTGAGGCAGGAATCTGTGTCAGCCCGGCCTGCTCTTCCACAAAGGACCTCATTCATCAGAGAGGAGATGCACAAACATTTGTGGAGAATCCTCCAGATAATAACTCACAGGAAGAAGAAATGTTGAACTGCCCTTTTTATCCAAAACTAGGATTTAAAGTACTCAATTATCAATTCTGAGAGGACAAGTACTGTTCCCCTTAAGGTGCCCCATGGAGTTTTCTTATAAATAATTAAAATGTATGTTTATGAGTAGTTGTCCCAACTCATTTTGGAAATCCTTGATCAGTGAGTACTAAGAAAGGCAATATAGTGTAGCTGCTCAGGGCTAAAAACTCAACCCAAGCCTTTAGACTCCTTTAGATTAAATTGTCTAAAATAACACAATCCTTTTTAGATCAAGTAAAGGTGATTATTAAATTTAACATTTTGCATTGTGCAAACAAATATAATTCCATCCATACTGCAAGTATTCATTTTGTTGGTATGGATATTTTCTCATCTAACAACACAAAGGTAAATTACACTGAGTTAATTTGCACTCATTGTGTCCTGAGGGGACCTCCTCTGATGAACCCTGGGAAAAGTTCATTGTGACCCGACTTCTCAATACATGGACTTCCTCCGAGCTGCACTCCCATTGGACAAAACCCTGTTTCAAGGCCAAACTAACTTCCAGACAACAACCTGGGGGGAAGCATGCCAGTCCTCCAGTCCTGACTGTGAGCAGTGATCTTTTCTGTCTCCATTGAACAGAGCCATGCTGCTCGACTCGGTCTATTGTCAACGCTGATTGACGCTACACAAGTTCAACTTCACAGGAGTACAGTCATCGTTGTATTTTACCTGCTTATAAACTCTACTGCAAAACAAGAAGGTATACTGTATGTCACGGTTATATTTGGTGACACAGATGATGTATTTAAACATCGGATTAAAGCACTACAAACAAATATTAAAGAGACAAACACTTGTTTATTCTATCTATAGCTCAACAATCTCCACTATGTACAGTGTAAGATTTGGCAGCTATTTTAGATTAAAGTCTTAGTCTTTAAAATCTTTTCGTCACATTTTAGTCATGTTCACCCTTCAAAGTTTTGGTCTACTTTTAGTCGATAGCAACAAAAGATTTTTGTCGAGCTTTAGTCAATAAAATGTCTTAACTTTAAATCGAAATTTTTTTTTATCTCTAGCTACACTGTCGTGCATTTTCCTTTCTATTGAATTTGTAAATAATGTCCCAATATCTGTCCTTTTTGGCGTCATCACCAGTATGCCCGGGTTAGATCAAGGGGATCTGCCACCCAACACTAGAGGGAAAAAAAGTCTACAAGAATGTTTCTCATACTTTGACAGACAGTTAAGAAGTCGGACAGCTCACCACTAACATTTTAGTTCTGTCTCGTCGCGGTAATGAAAACAAAACATACGCGTCATCACAGTTTTTATTATAAAAGATCTGTTTTTAGCTCAACAGCGTCTCATCTTTGCCACAGAGATAAGGTTGTTAATGAACCTTTATAGTCATAACTTGTCAAATTAACACTGTGTACTACATTTGTGAACATGCTTGAAATTTAAATGGAAAAAAAACACAAGTATCTAACATAGATTTTCCCAGAACACTTTTTAAAGCAGTGTAGAATAAGCTATACCTATTTTTTAAACACATTTTTACAGATCTGTCACTTTAAAGCACTTTAATTTTGTTTGTTTGAGATACTGATTTAGAGCAAGGCTTGACTTGACAGGACTGTGAGGAGTTCCCACTTCCTCCCTGTGTTTCACAACGGTCTCTCTCACTGTAGATAACTAGCTCACTCCCAAAATAAGAGAAGAATATTTGAGCTCTCTGAGCATGTCGGTGGTACGATAGACGCAGAAAGGAACAGTATGCTGCTTGGCGTGACCTTCAGGGAACAATGTGGGAGCGAGTCTAAATAAACACCACAGTAAGCCCAGGATACAAGAATGCAAAAGGTGGTATCTACTTGTGCAACAAGCTCACACAAGGCTTGTACTCACAGGTGTGAAATGCTTCTGCTAGCTGTGTCTGAGGCGATAGGTGACATTACAGATTAGCAAAACACTGATGTTCAACAACACTATGGGACATTACACCTCTCAAGACACCTCAGCTAATCACCTGCAAACATCAGTGCTGTTATCTTTTCTTCAAACTGTATGGACTGATGAAGGCAATATATCACAGAGTGTGTGTGTGTCACAGGGAAATGGCAAGTATGCTAGCAGCAGCGGTATCTGCCACCGGCATGCCAGAACATGAGAGAGTATGAGAAAATGTACTTCACCATGGATCACTAATTACTGCTCTTAAATCCTACAGGACAGCAGAGTGTTGGCGTGCGTGTGTGAGTATCTGGGTGCGGCTCATTGACAGTTCGTAGGTTTGCTGCTTTAATGTGTAAAATCCTGCTGGTTGGTGTGCAGGCGCTGACAGTAAAAAGTTAACATAGAGCTAGATTTCAACACCAGAAGTGCTGCATGTTCCCTGATAGAAAGCAGACACAATTCTTACACAAAACACTGCCATGGTCAAACACAAGCTGCTATAAAACAAATGTAACAGGTGATGAGGACTTAATCTCACAACTCTCTGTAATTCAGACAAAAACTATGCAGAGTAAGTTTGTGCATACAGCCTTAACAAAACAAGAGGCTCAAAAAACGGTATGGTATCCATTTTGAAAACCTTCCTCTTTTAAAGACAGCACTTTTAGTTCTTCTTGAAACTACCTGTCGTTTAAGGCTTTTGTTATTTTAACAAAGCTCTCTTATTATATATACTTTTTTTATGCTTTGTGGTATTTTTTTTTCTGGGTGTGCCCCAAGGTTCAGCCTGTGGCCCACTGATATTTCTGTCTTAAGCATGCTATTCAGGTAGAATGATATGCAGACGATACACACCTCTATAGTTCTATACAAGCAAAACTAAAAAGCTCTGTTATTAGATTTCAGATGTTAGTAAATAATCTGTAAATATTTATTAAGTATAAACTGGTTTCCAAAGAAAGGGGAAAACTTCCATTTCAGATTGTGCTCCTTTTTTTATCACGAAACACAAAGGTAAGTAAAGCACCTTTAATACATTTTTGTTTGTTTATGTTCTAGTTGCTAAGTCGTGAGATCACACTGAGATAGACTCAGGAGTGAGTTTGCATGTTTGTATTCAGCAGTCACACGGTAACTACAGCCAATAGTGAAGGGATTAGACTCTCTGCTGTCTGAGACAGACCTTGTTAGCTGGATACAGTAGCCTGAGTGTAATTCAACATGACCGCAGTACTCTTAAGCAAAATGGAAAATGGAGCCAAGACAAACTGAA